TTAAAGGATTAACCTCCTCGTCTTTTTCGCTGGGGGGGGGGTAGCGCTCTTAGTTCTTTTTCTCTGCATTTTGACAACTCACAGTTAAGCCGATCTTTTTCCATTTTTTCGGATGATCGCTTTATCACTCGGTGACGTCTGGTGGCTCCGCTAAACCCCGTGAAACGGGGTCGCTCACTAAAGAGTGTTTCTTTCTCCAATGTGGCAGAAGCAAAAAAGGTGGGGAGAGTAATGTACTTACTTAAGTGAAATTTTGATACCACTTTCAGTAGAAATGTCACACCCGGTCAAAACACCACCCTATCATCATAGAATTTTATATAAGGGTGATCCACTTGTAGTGCGGCCATCTCACCCACCATCCTAGCAGACGTTATAGCCACCAAAAAGGCTGTCTTCCAAGTAAGGTCCTGTAAGGAACAAGTCCCCATGGGTTCAAAAGGGAGGTCTCATTAACTCTGAAAGCACCAGTGGAAGTGTCCACTGAGGTACAATGGCAGGGACTGGAGGAAATAAATTTGACAATCCTTTTAAGAATGCTGTTGACATTGAATGAGAAAACACTGACGTCCCCCCTATTGGAGCATGAAAAGCAGAAATTGCTGTGAGATAAACCTTTATTGAGGAGTTAAGACAGTTTTCTTCCTTTCAAAGTCAGTAACACGACTTCTAAAGGATAAATATCAGGGAGAAATCCTTTGTCTTGCACCCATTTAGCACTAATGCTAGCCCACTTAGCACTATAAGATGCTCTAGTAGAAGGCCTCCTAGCATTCTCTATAACAAGAAGCGGGGACCAGCGATACTTGCCGGGAGGGAGAAGGAGCTCCACGTGGAGAAGGAGGAGGAAGCAGCTGTAGGTGAGCCTTCTCCCCTGCCCCCCCCGTACTGACGGCAAGCCCCAGGCCCGCCAGTGCTTCTCCCCCCCCAACCCCCCGGCACCAACAGCGAGGCCCGCGTGGCTCCCAGCCCCACTGGGCTTACCAATCCTTCTCCCCCCTCAACCCCCGCAGCACCGACAGCGAGGCCCACGTGGCTCCCAGCTGCCGGGCTCACCAATCCTTCTCCCCCACCCCCGTGCACCGGTGGCAAGCCATGTGGGCCTGCCAAGGTTTTTCCCGCTCCCCCCCCGCACCAGCG